ATATGGGGTAATGATAAATATGTGGTTACTTATCCTTCCAAAAATCATATTGGAAACATATGCCATTCTAGATTATATCTGTGTGCAATGCTTCACAAATTATCAATATCATGGAATATTTTTCTTAGAGTTACCATTAACTGATGCCACATTTCCAGAGAGTAATTTGGGTTTATATGCCACTTGTTACATATAAAGTTGTTAGAAATTTGGTAGTGTTTCAAGAGTGTTATTACTTGAATCTAAAGATAATTTCTAAGTCAAGGATTGGAATTACCTGAGTGCCTAAGGAGTATTTTGTTCCATCTTATATTTTATAAGAAGATTCTCTTAAAAATTCTTATTTTACATAATTTTATTCCAACTAATTTAAAAGAATTAGTTTCAGGCCTACAAGGCAAAACTGTCTTTGGAATTCAGCTGAACTTCCAGATACTGTTTAAATAACATGAAAGTAATTATATAAATTTTAATTAATAAGGAATCATGAACTTTTTCTCTTTTTCTTCCTAAACAAGCAAATGCACATTGGAAGTATATGCCTTTTAGAAGGATAAAATAACTTTTGGTAAATTATTTGATATTTTAAATATATGCCTGTGGGTAAGTCAAAATGGATCTCTTTATAGATTTCAAAATGACTAATATGGTGATATGAATGTTAAACAATTAGATGTTGTCTTATTTTTATTTTTAACCAAACTTAATTTAATATTTGAGGGACTGTGGTAAATAATTTTTCAATGGAACAATAAATATTTATATATTATTTTATTCCTTATGTTTACTAATATTACTAATATGTTTACTAATATTACTTATATATATTAAAAACATAAGTGATAAAATAATATATATTAAATTAAGTTTGTTAAAAATAAAAATAAGACAACATCTAATTGTTAAACATTCACATCACTATATTAAATAGTCATTTTGAAATCTATAAATAGATTCATTTGTATACCAAATAATTTACCGAAAATTATTTTATCCTTCTAAAAGGCATACAGTTTCAATGTGCATTTGCTTATTTAGGATGAAATTAGATGATATATATGTTATGAAGTAGAAAGACAAAAATATATATATAAAATCTTTGACATTTTATAACAGAAAAATAAATGTATTAATATATATTATTTGAAATGATATATATGCTATGAAGTAGAAAGACAAAAATACGTATTAAAAACTTTGACATTTCGTAATCTTTTCTGAAACTTTGAAATTAGCATTTCCCCTTACTAGTAAACTGATAATATTTGAAATTCAATTTCACTGATTAAAAAAATGGACATAGATGAAAGTTAGATTTTTTTTTTAAGAAACGTAATCCTGCTTGGCTCTTTGAAATATTTTTAGTTGAATTATTAATTCCTTTGTCAACAATAGTAGTCAGTATTGATAATAATAGGGCAAAGGATATGAACAGACACTTCTCAAAAGAAGACATTTTTGTAGTCAACAGACACATGAAAAAATGCTCATCATCACTGGCCATCAGAGAAACGCAAATCAAAACCACATGCGATACTGTCTCACACCATTTAGATTGGTGATCATTAAAAAGTCAGGAAACAACAGGTGCTGGACAGGATGTGGAGAAATAGGAATGCTTTTACACTGTTGGTGGGACTGTAAACTAGTTCAACCATTGTGGAAGACAGTGTGGTGATTCCTCAAGGATCTAGAACTAGAAATACCGTTTGACCCAGCCATCCCATTACTTTAAATCATGCTGCTATAAAGACACATGCACATGTATGTTTATTGTGGTGCTATTCACAATAGCAAAGACTTAGAACCAACCCAAATGACCATGAATGATAGACTGGACTAGGAAAATGTGGCACATATACACCACGGAATACTATGCAGCCATAAAAAAGGATGAGTTCATGTCCTTTGTAGGGACATGGATGAAGCTAGAAATTATCATGCTCAGCAAACTATAGCAAGGACAGAAAACCAAACACCGCATGTTCTCACTCATAGGTGGGAATTGAGCAATGAGAACACTTGGACACAGGGTGGGGAACATCACACACGAGGGCCTGTCATAGGGTGGGAGGAGGGGGGAGGGATAGCATTAGGAGATATACCTAATGTAAATGATGAGTTAACAGGTGCAGCACACCAACATGGCACATTTATACATATGTAACAAACCTGCACGTTGTGCACATGTACCTTAGAACTTAAAGTATAATAATAAACAAATAATAATCTTTCCAGTTTTATGTTACACTTACACTCCCTCTTTCACTTCCGTAGTCTTGTGACTATATACCACCTTTACCAGTACTACACTGTATACTAATTTTCCTCATAGGAATGTCATAGACTTTAGAGAAAGTTCCATTTAATGACTGTAAAATTTTATATAATCCCTTTTAGAAAATCCCAACTGGCAACAGACTCTAATGGAAATGACTGTTGTACTGATTAATCATTATGAAAAGAATTTATAAAATAAAGGTTCATTGATGCTGCTGGTATGTTTTCATTTTAAATATAAGGAGATGAATCTACTCAACATTATTGTAGTAACTATAACATTCACCAGAAATTACAAATATAATTTTTAAGATATTGATGTTTTAAGCCTCAAAAAGAATGTCATGTAATTAGAGCTGCAGTGTATCTTAATTGCAATAAAAGAATAATTGCTTGAAAATAAATTTCAGTCTTTAATTGAAAAGAAAGAACCAGATAGTTTGTCTTTGCAATTTTGAGGAAGGAGGCATTTAATTAAATTCCACATGCATACTACTATCACCATATATAAAAGAATCAAACATTTAGTGACGATTTTAAAAATATTTTTATAGTTTATTGCATTTGAATCAGGCAGTTTATATATATTTTTTAAAAAATGTAGTGAGCAGGCACATCTTTTGGAACAATTTTTACGAGGGAAACATTTGTATTAAAAATAGATACTTCTTTCTTTGAAATAGTGAAGTTTGGATACCACATTGAAGATGTGAACATAAAGGTATGTGTAAAGTATAATTTATGTTTATTAAGTACCTGTTATGTGCCAGTCACTGTTCCAAATATATGTTATATTTTCTCTACCCCAGCCTTCACCACAACACTCTATTTACCTGTAAGAAATCAGATTTTGACAGATTATAGACACAAAATTAGTAAATAACAAAGTTTGCTAAATTCTCAATGCCAAGACCTTTGTATAATATGCCATGTTCTCTCAAATTATTAAAATTATTAAGATGTGTGAATAGACTGCATATGACTCTATATAATAAATTGTATTACAATATGGGAACTTCTTTAAAGAAAAATTCATCAGAAAACTAAGAGTGAGAGTGTGGGACAGAGGACGGGGATCGTAAGAATATTTTATTTTACCATTCTAGGTAACACATGGCTTTATAATAATGATTTGAAGAGATATGATATGTAATTTAGCACCTTAAGCTTCAACTCAAAAACAAAGTATATGCAGAAACATGGGTTATAACATGTGCCTTTAATAGTCAATAAAACTAGCCAGTGTCATTGCTTATTACCTGATAGCTAGTAGGTTTTCAAATTATAAAACTCATCTGTTACACTCCACTTAGCATATCTATAACTTTCCAAGAAAGGATACAATCTTCAAGCAAATTACTTTAATGGGTAAAGGATTAAAGGCTAAAACAAGAGGTAGTAGAAGAGAAAGTGAAAGACAATTGCATACTGTCTATTAAGACAGAGAAGGAGATCACCTGGAGGTGCAAATCTGTTTTCTCAAACGACTGAATTAATAGCATATATAAACACTGAAAAGCAGCATATATGCATAACAGCATATATAAAAACTGAAAATCAGTATATATATATGTGCTTTATTAATGGCATATATAAAAACTGGAAAATTGAAAAATTCAGACTTAGTTTCAGATATAGTCACAGATATTTTTATATTTGTAGTGAGTATTTATTATAATTAATGTAAAGCAACTTGCAGAGACCAAAAGAGTGATTGTCATGATTCACTGAAGCAACTCTATCTACATTCATACAGAAATATGTCTCACTAATTATGTATCTGTACTGGAACAAATCTTTTGAAATTCTTCACTCACTTTCAACACTAATATTTACTTTTTTATTCAGTAATAGTTTTTAAAAATGTACTAAAACTTTAATTACACATTTGAGCAAGCTTGTAACTTATTGGACATAGTGTGGAATAAAAATATAGTCTAGAGCACAATAAAGTCAAGAATACAAGAGAAATGGTTAAGCACTAATATTATGCTTTAAGTGGCAAGTGAGAATAAAAAAAAAAAAAGAAAGCAGGGTCTGATCCTGTCACCCAGGCTGGAGTTCAAGTGAGAATTTTTTGAGTCACCCTACTGTGACGAAGTTGTCATCTAGTGATAAGAATAATTTAAAAGGGAACAATTTGATACTAGTGTAGGTGTTGGCAGTGTTAGAACTTCTTATCCTTTTGAGCCAGTGAAAATTGCCAAGACTAAAGATGAACAGTTACTTGAAATAGATTGTTTCTGTAGGATACCGAAATATTTAGTAGGCTCCTCAGTTTGACTACTATATTACACTTAAAAAGTTTAAGTGTATATTTTGTGTCAAGATATTATCCTTGCAATAATCACATTTTTCTCTTTATTGATTACTTAAACACCTTTATTCATATGTACATTCTTTCCATCCAACTCCAGTACATGATGTTGACTTTTTAGTTAGAATTCCTCTATGTTAGGAATTCAGAGCCTCCTAGCAGGGTATCTTCAGTGTTTCAAAATCCTTTGACAAGATACAATGGCTTTTACTCAAAATTATCTAAGGGTAAGAATATAGTATCAAAAACATGGTAATCAATGTGTCTTTTTTGAGTATTATCATATTGTTTTTTTAATCATAGGAACCTTACCTCTTCTTGTTCTCAGTCCTAATATGGAAAGAAGAGAGTTGAAATAACCAATGAAAATGACTAATGGAATATTCTTTATATTTTTTCATAGAGAATAAAGGATACGAAATGATGTCTGATGGCAAAGGTAAATAAATAGAATTGAAAGTCGATGGCACTGAAGGAAAATTGAAGTTAATCTTTTCCAGATGAACCAAAGAGACACATTTAGAAACTAGAAGTTGCATTTATATTGATATATTTTTCCAGGTTTGAGAAGTTCTCTGTTATTATCTCTTTGGATAAACTTTCTACCCCTCTTTCTTTACCTCCTCTCTAAGATCAATAACTCTTAATTTGTCATTTTGAGGCAATTTAGTATATCCTACAGGAGTGTTTCATTGTTTTTTATTTTTCCTTTTGTTTACTCTGTGTATTTTCAAATAACCTGCCCAGTCTCACGAATTCTTTCTTCTGCTTGGTCAATTCTGCTATTAATAGACGCTAATGCATTCGTCAATATGCCAATTGCATCTTTCAGCTCCAGAATTTCCGCTTGATTCTTTTGAATTATTTAAATCTCTCTGTTAAATTTACTTGATAGAACTTTGAATTCCTTCTCTGTATTATCTTGAATTTTTCTGAGTTTTCTTAACACAGCTAGTTTAAATTCTCTATCTGAAAGGTCGCGTATCTCTGTTTCTCCAGGATTGGTGCCTTATTTTGTTCGCTTGGTAAGGTTATGTTTTCCTGGATAGTGTTGATCCTAGTAGATGTTCTTCAGTGTCTGGTCATTGAAGAGTTAGGTATTTATTGTCGTCTTCACTGTCTGGGCTTGTAGGTGCCTGTCCTTCATGGAAAGGCTTTCCAGACATTTGACAGAACCTAGGTGTTGATCTAAGCTGGGGGCTCCACAAACCCAGTAACATTGTGGCCCTTGCGGATTCGTAGAGGTACCATCTTGATGGTCTTGGACAAGATCTATGATAATTCTCTGGATTACCAGGCAGAGACTCTTGTCATCTTCCCTTACCTTTTCCCAAACACATAAAGTCTCTTTCTGTTCTGAACCACCTAAAGCTGGGGGTGGCGTTACAAAGAACTCCTCCCTGTGGCCACCACCACTCCGCTGCACTGAGTCAGACCTGAAGTCAGCACAGCACTGTTATATTTTATTCAAGGCCTGTTATATCAACTCCCTGGCTACTGCCTATGTTCACTCAAGTCCCTGGAGCTCTACAATCCAGTAAATGGCAAAGTCAGTCAGGCCAGTGTCCTTCCCTTCAGGGTGGTCATGCCCCCAGACCCTGAGTGGATCCAGAGGTGCCCTCAGGAAGTCTGGGACTTGAATTAAAAACCTTAGAAATCTACCTGGTGTTCTATTCTACTGTTGCTGAACTGGCACTCAAACTGCAAGAGGCAGTCCTTCCCACTCTTCCCTGCCCTTCCAAAGGCAAAGGAGGATCACCCTGTAGCTACCACCACCCAGGCCACTGGGACTACTGCCAGACTACCTCCAATGTTCCTTTAAGGCCCAAGGGCTCTTAAATTGTCTTGTGGTGAATGCTGCTTGCCCTGCGACTCAACCTTCAGTGGCTTCCTCCTGTTTCAAGGAAAGTCCAGAAATGCCATTCAAGGGTCAAGTCCTGGAAGCAAGAGCTCACTTGGTGCTCTATCACCATGTGGCCATGCTGGTACCCAAGTTGCAAGACAAAGTCCCCTTTATATTTTCCTCTTCTTTTCTCAAGCAGAAGGAGTTTTGCCCTACACCTAACACAGCTAGAAAATGTGCTGAGTCTAACTTGAAGCCAGCAAGTCTCAGAGGCTAACCCAAGGTCCTAGATCTAGTAACTAGGTGTCACTGCTGATTATTTAGGGCCCAAGGGCTCTTCAGTTAGCAGGTGATTAGTGCTGTCAGGACTAGATTCTTTCCTTCAAGGCAACGGGTTCCCGTCTGGTCCAAGGATGTGTCTAGAAATGTCACCTGGAAGCTAGGGCGTGGAACCAGGGTCTCAAGACTCTGACTGGTGCCCTATACTGCTATGGCTTATCTGGTATTCAAGATGCGAGTCAAAGTCCTCCCTATTTTCCCTTTGCTCTCCTCAAGCAGAAGGAAGGGGTCTCTTTTGAAGCCAGGAGCTGTGCAGCCTGGGGTTAAAGGAGGGACGAGGCCAGTATTCCGGTGGCTGCACCTACTTATGTCTCAGTATATTACGTGTCTCCTCAGTCCACTGTCTCTGGGCCTCGTTCAGCACTAGGACTGGCCTAAGTGTTGCTGTCCTCATGGCCTATACTGCTTTTCAAGTTCATTTAGAGACACAGAGTTCTTTCAAATTCTTTTCAAGTTCATTTAGAGACAGAGCACTTTAGCTCAGGTAACGAAGTTTGCAGGAACTTAAGTTCTGACCACTGTGATGGGCTAGTTCTGGCTGTCAGTGATTTAAGGGCTCCCTCTATAAGCAGATGTCAGCTGAGTTTGGACCAGTTTTTCTTTCTGCTGTAACAGGACGGCAATAAGCTTAATGCCTCACAATTGCTGTGTTCTCTCTCCCCCAGCACCCAGTGACACTCTCTGCATCACCCTGTGGCTGCCAGGAGTGAGGGAGGCATGGCCTCGGCAATTCTGGATTGTTTTATTTATCTCTTCAGTGACTCTTTCAGTGATATGAAGATAAAATCAGGTACTATGGGGACTTAATTGATTTTTGGTTCTTATAAAGGTGTGTGTGTGTGTGTGTGTGTGTGTGTGTGTGTGTGTGTTCTTCTCTGTAGATAGTTGTTAAATTGGTGTTCTTTCCTGGGGAGGGCGGGGGGCGGGGAAGGGGATGATCACTGGAGCCTTCTTTTCCACCATATTGCTCCTCCTCTGAAGTGGTATTTATATTGATATTACTACACTCATTACAGGTAGTTAGACAGCCATGAGCGGGACAGGAGAGGGCTCTCCCCCACCCACCATGAATGCCAGGTGATGGTTTGACAATGATCACATTGCCCCTCTAAAAGTGATAAATTGAGAGCCTGCACTGGGAAAAGCCATTTCCTGATGGTCCGCACCTGTAGCACTGAAGTGGTAATTGAATTCAAATGCCAGGGAGAACCAATTTCCTGGGCATACACATTAAGAGACAAAAAGGCAGAGTCTGACCTTTCAGGGTACATCATTGGAAAAGGTAAGAAAGCCTCAGGCGGGCATGTGTACAACTTCCTAAACACACTGCTGTACTCAGTTCCCAAGGGTAGGGAGGGCACTGCGCATGCGGGCAGTCCATCCAGAGGGAAGAATCATGGGAAAGTGGTACAACACGTCAGAAGAAGGCCAGCCTGTAAAGTGCTGGACTCATGGTTAAACGCCTCACTTATCCTTCAAGTGGCCTGCTTGGGTTGCTTCCAAGTGTACTTTCCTTTCTTTCCTGTTATAAACCTTTTTAAAATAAACTTCCACTCTTGCTCTGAAACTTGTCTCAGTCTCTTTTTCTGTCTCATGCCCCGGTCAAATTCTTTCTTCTGAGGAGGCAAGAATTGAGGTTGCTGCAGATCCATATGGATTTGCTGCTGGTAAGTCAGATACCTTCCACTGGTAACAAACTTAGTCCCAATTCTTCTTCTGATTTTATAGTATAAGTACCTTGTTACTTCATGATTCTAATGAAAATTCTGAATACACGCAAAATTATTTTCCTTCCCTCAAAAATTACCACTATCACAACCTAGCAAGAACATTTTCCTCCCATATTTTCTAACTGTCATTTGAAGACTGAAGCTTTCACCTTTTTATCTAGAATAAAAAGATAAATGATTAGTTTTACTTCAGGAAACTTGTTTCTATAGCTATTTTGTTCTCTAAAATTTCTCTACTAGGTTGATGGATTTTTTCAAATCCTCAGATGTAGCCCCCATTAATGATTATAAACCACTTACATTTTCTAAAGTGGGTGAACAAGTGGTACCTAATTTTCTTTAGGTTTCTCACATACATTTTCAACAACATCTTAAAATTTATGGTAAGTTTAATATTTTTTGAGGAAATTAAAATAAAATTTACTGGATATATTCATGATTACACCTATTGGCGTAATTTAGCTGATATATCATTCTTAAAAACCAACTTATCATGTCACTTCTAAGCTTTGGCTCAGTCCTGTAATTATGTTTTCAAAGCACTCAATGAAAAAAATGCACGTGTAACAGAAAGAAATTTACAGACATTTTATTTGTCTCTACATAACTCAAAGGCAAATTACACATTTAATGTTAAATTTGAGATCTTAAACATATTGTGAATAGGCCACAAAACAAGATAAATTAAAAAAAAACCATTTCCATTCAGTTTTACATGGGACATCTGACTCCATAGTAGTCTTTATCATTCATTTATCTATAAATTCTAATAGATTGTCAAGTAAATATATTCAAATATATTCAATTGTAATTGAATTAATTCAAATAATTTAATTTGGAATTATTCACAGATAAATGTTGTATCTGAATCTTTAAAGTATGCAATATTTTGAGAATTTATATTAAGATCTATTGTATCAGGGTTCAGTCAGAAGAGCAAAACCAATGGAATGTATATACAGATAAAATGTGGCACCGTCCAAGGATTTGACCTTTTACCATGTGGAAGCTAGTCAGGCATTCATTGTAAGACTGCTGTGTCCATGACTGATTCTAAACCCTGAAGTCTGTGGCAGATAGTGAGGAAGAGATGGATATATGTAAAGCTGGAAAAGAAAAAAGACAAGCAGGAAATCATAAGAACAGACTGAAACCCACATCCGTTTTTGCTACCTCTCGATGATGTATGGATGTCCTGCAGGAGAAGCTAGACTTCCTCCCTATGATGCTACATACTTGCCCCAGAAGTTGGAGAAAATGAAGGAGGATCTAGGGTTGATGGAGCAGTTGCAGGCCTGGCTGCTGTCTCACACCAAAGAGGTCAGCCAGTAGTTGAGTAACAACATGTGTGGACCGCAAAATCGTTCTTGCTTCATTTCGGACCACCAGATCTCACACAAGAAATTATTAAATACAACTCCACTACTTAGTAGGTAAAAATGAATATACAAGGTTTAGATAAGCATGAAAATAAAGATAATTATGGTTTTAATTGATTGAAGGAAGGGGTAAAAAACCTCCCTTCTACTACAAAGAATAAATTTAAGTAAAAGAGAATCTGAGAAGCTAAGCATAATGTAGCAGAAACTTTATTGCACATATCTTAAATGATCTGTAAAATAAATTCCAAAGTTGTGATACTTCATAAATTCATAATACTCTATAATTCATACCTGTCACAGTTAATCACTTATCTTTTTTTTCAAAACTAGAACATAACATTTACTGTATTTTTATATTCAGATAGCTAAATGAATATCTTAGGTTTCTTGGCCTAAAAGGATGTCATGAAGGGAGTATCTATTATTAACTGAGTACTCACTATACATACAGTATTTGACAGGCATCTTACAAAGTTACTGGTAAAATAAAAACTTGTGTTTGAGTACAAAATGAGTGCCCCATTTTGTTTTGTGTCCCTATACCATTACAAATATTTCATTATATTAATAAATTCTCTATACTTGGGAAAATTGGGGGGTTTACCAAGAAGATACCAAAATTTATTTTGTAATTCCAATACTTCCTGCAAATAGATTAGAATAATACCTAATTAAACATATCAATATTGAAAATGTTCAAAGTTCTTTCCAATGCTTAGAAGGAACTAAGATCAAATCATATCAATGTCTGAATATGCCAGTTGAGAGCTCCAATATTGATTCCCACTGATAATCCTCAATGCATAACTAGGAATTCCCAAAGTGAGTCTAACATGAACTCAGAGAGCAAAGTTAGTTTCTGGCTGGGTAATTGCTAACTTCAATTGCTTTTATTTTTAGTACTTCATCTCTTCTCTGTCCACTGCTGTCCTGAGATTTCCTGTCAACGCTGACCCTCAGTGTACTCCTCTGAGGTGAGTCCATCAAGGTAAAGCTGTTCTCTGCTGAACTCAATAAGAGACACCCTCAGGCTGTTGCCTCCAATTTTTATGGGGCCAAAAAGCCAGGAAATCTCCTGTAAAGACTTTTAAGCAGTTGCAGGAATTCCCATGAGCTTTTTCATAGAATTCATGAAGTGACAAATGAAATTACACAGCAAATGTCTGTAACACAACACAAAATTTAAAAAGTTTGTATATATATTTTATTTGGCAAGAAAAAGTTGAAAAAGCACCAGTGATATTAGAGTTAATATTTCACTCAGCAGAAGTTAATACAATGTGTAATTTGAAATCCTGTATTAATCACATTTGAAATGCAAATTTCTCATTTTTATTTTTAAAAAGTTATGTTTATATTTCACTGGAGCTTACTTAATGAGTTATACATTTTAATTGAATATGTATTTATCTTTTAGACTCAATTAAAATTAATTGACTACCTATATGGATGCTAATTATTTAAGAAATTATTACTCTTTACAAAATTTTTTACTGTTTATGACATTATTTACTATGTCATTTTTATATTCAATACTATGAATTTGTGATATACAATTTTGTTATTAAAACATGTGTTCTTTAAAACAAAAACCAGCCCCCATTCATAAAGCTGAATGGAAGAGATACTAGTTCAGCTGAACAATAGTAAGCTGCAATGATGATAAGAAAAGTAATAATGTAATAATTAATATTTATATGGTAAATTCAATGTGCTGGGAACTATTCTAAATAGCTCACATATATTAGCTGAGTATTGCCATTTAAGAAAAAGAATTTAAAAAAAACCCTAAAAAACAATGCTGAGGCCCAGAGAGGTAAAATAATTTTCCCAAAGTCACCAAGCTGTGAAGTGGAACTGTAATCTAACTTTAGGTACTGTGTGAATTTAACTACTGTACCCCATTGTTTAATAAATATATTAAAACAAGTTAAATGATACTTAAGTTATTTTAAATTATGTATCTTAACATGAAGTATAGGAAGATGTTAAAATTGCCAGGCAAGAGTCATTTTTTAATTAGTCTTTGTATCTTCAGTGCCTAGTGCATCACTTTAGAGTGGTGTCAGGAAAACTAAACCGGCCGGGCGCGGTGGCTCAAGCCTGTAATCCCAGCACTTTGGGAGGCCGAGACGGGCGGATCACGAGGTCAGGAGATCGAGACCATCCTGGCTAACACGGTGAAACCCCGTCTCTACTAAAAATACAAAAAAATTAGCCGGGCGTGGTGGCGGCGCCTGTAGTCCCAGCTACTTGGGAGGCTGAGGCAGGAGAATGGCGGGAACCCGGGAGGCGGAGCTTGCAGTGAGCCGAGATCGCGCCACTGCACTCTAGCCTGGGCGACAGAGCGAGACTCTGCCTCAAAAAAAAAAAAAAAAAAAAAAAAAAAAAAAAAAAACTAAACCATTCTGTTCTTAGGGAGTTTTAATACAGAGAGTAGAGACACACACATGTTTTGGAAAGTTGATGGAGAAAAGGTTCCAAAAGCCATTGTTAGAAGCATTTTGTTCACAGGTTCTACCCCAGAAATTGGAGAATCTCTTAGAGGTTAGTGTGCCTCCATTACTGTGCACAACTGGCAAGTCAAAAGTGGGTGGTTCCCAAGAACATTCCCTAAGAGTAGCCATGTGAACCTTGCTTACAGACTTCAAGCATCTGCTCCCAATGATCTCCGGAGAATAATGGTTTTTCAGTTCTGCCTTGCAGATCTTGTGCTAGTTTCCCTCATAGAAAACTGATAACAAAATCTATGTTAAAGGATATTCTGAGAAATAATTCCAGACATCACTGCTATGAAATAGAGGAGAAGGTGAAAGAGGATATAAGAGGTATCAAGTTGATAACAGGTAAATTGTAATATCCATAACCTGACATAAAGTAAACTTTATGCATTAGTCAGGCTTCTCCAGAAAAACAGAAACAACAGAATACATAGAGATACAAAGAGATTTATTATGAAAGGTTGTCTCAATTATTGTGAAGAAGTTCAGATTCTTCAGGGTAGTCAGGCAGCCTGGGGACCTTGAGAATAATCGATGTCATCGTTCAAGTCTGAAGGCACATTACTGACATTATTTCCTCTTCCTTGGGTGGGTTCAGTCTTTATTCTATGAAGACCTCAACTGATTAGATCAACTGCACCAACATTATGCAAGGCATTCTGCTTTACTCAGACACTACCAATTTAAGTGCAAAAACATATTTTTATAGACACATCTAACATCCAGAATAACGTTTGACCAAATATCTGGGAATTGTGGCCTAGCAAGTTGACACACAAAATCAGCAATCACATCCTTCACAAATAATTTTAAAGTTAATAATATAATAATAATGAGTGTTAAATCCAACTATTTTTATTAATTAAACATTGTAATATATACATATGGCACACATGTATATATATGGCACACACACATTATATATAGACATATGTGTGTTTTCTGTGCCTTTGCTGCAAGCTTCTATCTGAACAGATTTATAGCCTATATTTACACATGGAAATATAGTACAGCTTGAGGTTGTGCAAAACAAAAACCTCAACATTTTTTCACATTAAAAAAATCTTTTTTATGTGTCAGTAAAATTCTTAATTATATTCATACTTTTATCTAGTTCATACTTGGTTTTGTATGGAGACTTCAGAAGATTCTGTGCGGATAGGTGTTTATGGAATAATGGAACAGAAAAGAAAACAGGATCTGATTGAAATTATTGAGTACCATTTTCTGATCCATTCTATTTCTGATAATGTGATCACATGCTGATTTGCAAATTTCTGTTATGTAGAAGTAGAATTTAATACTTATAATTTTAAAAGTAATTGCATATTTTCTGCATGAAAAAGATAATCATAACTGCTCACTTTCAATCAATATTTATTGAACCTTCATAGGATGCATTAAAAAGACAGGCTAGAGATTATATGTTTAAATTACTAATCAGTTGGATAATAAACTTTTTTTGTTATCATTATTATTGTGTGTAATAAATAACAGAAAATAGTGGATTTTAAGAAAAGAAAATAAACTTGCAACACTACTGTAAAGGCATCTGAACAGCACGCATAGACATTTTGTTTAAAGAATTTTTCTGAATGTGTTTCTTCATTTTGTTCACAGGTTCTATTCAAGTAGTGAAAAATTATGGCACCAATATCTGTCATTTATCACTCCTGGAAGCAGTAAGATGCAGCTTCATTTGTTGAAAGTCGGGGATATACTGACTTGTTGCTAAATATTAGAGAAATGCACTATGACAATAGCGTATGAAATAATACAGATAGTGTTTTTTCTGTGTCTAATGTGTCTGTTTTCTCATTTTAATTTATGTTTTCATCTCTTCAAGAATCTGCCTATATCCTACTCTTCTTCCGTTTCCACACTTTAAATAAAAAACAGGACAGAGTGGGAAGAACATTCATGTGTCTGCAAACCACTCCTGCCATATCCATACTTCATTGTTTCTCAGTCATGAGAGTTATGACCAAATTTAGGGTTCCCTGGGACTCAGTTTCTATGCAAAAGGATAATACAAGTAAATTTTCCAGCCTCAGTAGTTGTTCTATACAAGAGGAAATCTGAGAATTTTTCTCCTTCTGTGACATAGGAAGTCGAATATAATATCATCTATAAAATTATATGATTAATTGAAAATGGATCAGAATGTTAAAAAAAGGTCAATTTTTTTCTTTAGGGTAGCTACTTTTTGATAATAGGTATATTTTTTGTCACAAATACATTTCAACAATTAGGAATTAAGACTTATAGAGGATATAGAAAATGTGTGTATTTGTATAAGTGTATATGCATATATGTATATATTCTTTATATATGTGTGTTTATATGTGTGTATGTGTGTAAAATCCTATTGAAGGAGCTCAAAATATAGTTTAGAAAACATAAAATTAAAATGTGAAACAACAGGGTACAATGGCACACAGTATATAAGTAAGCTGGAATATGTTTATTAACGGAGCCTTCAATCAGAAATAGTCTGCTGTTGTTTCTACTTCCAGTTTTATACATTAATGGATGCTCAGGGTATCTCAGTGTCAGTTTTCTTAGAGAAAAGCATTAGTTTGAGAGAACCAAGTGCCATAAATATGTTGTGAAGAGCTAGAATATCCATGACATGTCTCCTATATCTCCTATATTATTCTAATGAAAAAATACATTATAATAAAATGTAATGAGAGCAAGTACATGTGTTAATACATAATTGTTTATTGACAAGTATGTATAAGCATAATTTTAGGCTTAAATAATGGAAGAAAAAACACTATTTAATCACTTTACTGAAAGTTCATATACTATAACCCTAAAAAGTCAACAAGCAAATATTCATATATCTAAACAAGGGTCCCCAGAGAAACTGGATTCACCCCAGAGAATTCAAATGAAAGTATTCCATCAAAGAGATCCCTTTCACAGAGATAGTCAGGCTTAAGGAAACAAGGAAGGGATTGTGAGGTCATCAATAATTAGCAATAGCAGAAAGCCAAAACTATCCGAGGACTGAATGGACAAAGGAAAGGAAGGAATACTGAAGCTCCCTGAGAACCAGGACTGTGGAGTAGGGGCTGCAGTCTAGGAAAGACGCAGCCACTGCTAGAGATGCTATGCAAAACAATCATCTGACACAACAGGCTAATAGTGCTGAGAGGAGCAAAAATGTTTTTTTAAAAAATTAAGAAAAGGAACAATTAAACAAATTTAAAACACGTCTGTCTTCTCTGTGCATCCCATCATCTGTAGGTGCTTCCCACTGCCTGAACTTCCAGGAAACCAGCTAATCAGGAAATATATTGGGGGAGGTTAACAAATTTGGGCAAGAGCCCATTACCATCAAGAGACAAAGCTGTTTCCTGAACAACATCAGATTTACATAAAAGCTCGTTTGTGTAACAATAGTGCTTTGTTTCCTCTCTTAAAGTATCCGTTTACCTAACGAGGCTCCAGCTAGTTTTAATTAATTTTGTAATCCTAACTACTGCTCTCTAACATAGTTTTTATTAATTTGAAAGTACAAAAACATACAGTCTCAGAGATGACAGTGTGTGCTATTAAATAGAACTTCATGGACTCTAACTATGATAATCAGTTCTTTTTACTATAACCTGTGGCCTATAAAACATTTGATTGACAATACAAAAAGAAAACTCTATTATAGAGGGACTTATGATTTCAAGAACCAATGATTTTCTGTCACCTGGACAATGGTGCTATCCTGGGGTGCTGTCTAGGCTATATTCTGAGGGAAGCCAAATCTGAGTCATAGTTTAGCGTCAGGATGTTTAAGACCCGACTATCAACACGTGTGGGAAAAAGGGAAAGAAAACTAGACGGGGCAGGCACGACTGCCTCAGCCAACCCTTCTCAGAAGCTCTGGAGTAGAAATGGCTCATCTAACCTGTCCTGGGCTGAGCAAGAATGAGTAGCCCTTATAAATGCCTCTTTTTTTCCATTTTTCTATCTTTTCCCCTTCCTCCAACCTCAATTAATCATGAGTTATTTGCCATCCTAACAAGGAAATGGCTTTGAGCAAGGTCTCTCTCAGCAACAGAGGCCATCTGAAAGTGTTGACGTCTGAAGGCTCTCATCAGACAGCATTCTGTGAATTAGGACAATATATTCTTCTTTGAAGGAGCCTCTCCATTGTCCCTCTTCACATTCATCACAGATGCATTTTCTCCTGAGATATACAAACTAACTTTGGCAGTAATTATGAGCCTTATTTTTCATTCTTTCTGAACTTGAGTAGATTTGTTTTTCTAGAAGTACCAGATCACATATGTCTGCACATTATTTATGTCCACTTAACCTGTCTCCTTTCTAAACTTTACCTAATTTATTATACATATGTCATTCTTTCAGGCAATTTCAAATCAGTTTTTGAATTCTTACTCAAATACAGTTGCCAACTACAAAAACTCCTCTTTTCTTTCTGCCTTTATAAACACCAAAATCAAAGGGAAAAAAAAGCTTTCAAATTTACTCTTAACATTCTTCAAAATGCATGATGGGTTTGTGGTAAATTTGTGATATTTCAGACAAAACTTCACTTACTGGCTACAGCAGCTGAAAATGAAGCAGAAGGCTGTTATGATCATTGGACCCTGAAAATCCCATGCACCGTTGTTAAAACAACATGGTGTCTCTCTTTGGAAAAAGCTTTCACTTTTCTCTCTCTAGCCAGCTAAAACAGAATGTAATTAGGACAGAGAATGGAAATCTGAAGCTCAAACAAAAGGCTGTATTGTTATGAAGTTTAAAGGTGAGTTTGTACAAATATCAAAAACTAATTAAGCAGAACAGGTGATATTTAACTACTTTGAGACTTCAAAAAAGGAAAATTGATTTTTGTCTCATTGGATTAAATTACATTTTCATATTGATTGACACAAAGCGTTTCTGTTACTTCTCTTGCAGACAAGGTAAATACACTAGCTGCTATTTATTCATGAAACTCTGTCTCTCAAAATTTCAGGGAATGTTATTCTAGCATTTTATTATAGAACAAATATTCTGACAGATGATGGTATTTTGGAAGATAAACAGAAATATACATCCAATCACTTCCACTGTGCAATTTAGACCTAAAAAGTAAGGCATAGAAGTGGTAGAACATATTCACGGGTCAATCTTTTCTATCTGATATAGATTAAGATCAATCAAATCAATAAAACTTAATTAAATTTTGACCATTAATATTTTTGACAGTCTCAAAACTAAAGTATTGACTAAGTACTGCTAGTAGTTCAATTATCATTTCATTTACTTCCAGGAAGTTATAAAATGATTAAGAAAAAAAAAAAAAGATGTTAGAAGCTCTATAGAACCATTAAGCTACAAGAAAGTTAAGAAAAGTTTCTTTAGAAAATGGGGCAGGGAAAAGCATGAAAATATAGAAAGAATATTATTCTCTGAATCACAAAATACTCGCCTCCACCTACAGAAAGACACCAGTTTTAAATAGTTCGTCTTGTTTTGCTTTGTTTTATAAAGTAAATAATGTGGTCTGGCATGGTGGCTCAGGCCTGTAATCATAGCACTTTGGGAGACTGAGGTGAGAGGATCACGAGATCAGGAGATCGAGACCATCCTGGCCAACATGGTGAAACTCCATCTCCACTAAAATACAAAAAATTAGCCAGGCGTGGTGGCACATGCCTGTAGTCCCCGCTACTCGAGAGGTGGAGGCAGGGGAATCTCTTGAACCCAGGAGGCGGAGGTTGCAGTGAGCCCACATCGCGCCACTGCACTTCAGCCTGGTGACAGAACAAGACTCTGTCTCAAATTAATAAATAAATAAACAAATAAATAAAGTAAGTAATGTGATAGAAATGCTTGGAAGGAGAAGGGAGGTTCAGTGAAACAATTAAAAGATAACCTTTAAAAACAAAATAATTGCATGGTCACTGTTCTAGGCCTTTATTGTGTTGATAGGAGGCTAAAACAGCGTGGAAATTCTCGGGACAGTAAAAGGATTTGTAGAGTCTCTGTGGGATAAGATCTGGAGAAGAAATGGAGCACATTTAAAAATGAAAAACAAATACAAAAACGAACACAAAGTCTCATAAAAAGATCAGGGCTATCATAGGGAATTTTTTTAGTGTGTTTTGTATCCTCACTTTCCTCCTCAAACTAAAATATCAAATGGCTTTCCTTTTTTCCTTAAAGTTTAAGAAGCTTAATATCTTCTAAAGGTCTTAAATGATTTCACACCTAACTACTTTTCTGATCTTATTTCCTATCATTCTTCAGAATGGCTCATTCTGCTCTAGCCACACCAGAATCATCACAATTCTGTGAATATTCCAGGTATACTCTAAACTCAAGCCTGTTGCAAAAGCTGTACCTTACATTCCAGATATCCACATAGCTTGCTTGTTATTTCCTTCAGCTCTCTGCTGAAATATCAAGGGGAACTTCCCTGACAACCCTGTATCAAATTTCACCACCCACTGTGATCTGTTTAACCTTGCTTTTATTTTTTCCCACAGCTGTGGTCACTTTACTATGGTCATTAAGGAAGTTTTAATAAATATATACTGAATGATTAAATGTATCTCAGTACATCCCTACAAAAATCGTTAGAATAAAATAAGCTTTCATTTGTGGCTTATGAAATTGGGCATCCCTTATGGGATAAAATGAAGCACTTAGTAGAGCTCTAAGATAAAGCGGGGTTACAGGTAACAGATGCCTCCATGGTAATTATTGAACTAGTCAGTTACTCTGAGACAGCAGAAAAGCATCTCATAGAATTATAGTTCTGTGCGAGTGAGGTACAGAGA